ATATATATATATTAAAAGAATGGTAAAAATTTATTATAAGAGCTTAATTATTACCGTCCTCTCTATTGACAAAATAGTTAGAGAGAACTCGAACCCGTGACCTGATGAGACTTACGACCTTCGAATATGTTGCTCTACCAATAAGGGACATATATATATATATATATATAATTCAATTCTTATATATATCACTCAATTCATTTTTGTTTTCAGTAAATCATCCTCTGGCCGACAATCGTTGCTTCAGTCGCCTCTGATCGACCACCAGCTTCCTTCCGATCAATTCAAATCAAAGAAGATTTACACACTTATCACCCAATCCTTTTGTTTTTATATATGTAACCTCTAAAATTTATTTTTATTTGTAGATAGCCCCCTATAAATTACATATTTCAAATCTATAAATATATATGCATTTATTCACTGAAATATATAAAATAATATATGCATATATTATGAAGATGTTATGGCCATATGAGATTCAAAATGAAACTTTTTTATATCTAGTGTTCTAAACGAATACAATAATTGTTATTTACGTGCATCAGTTTAAGACTAGTTTGTTTTTTTGAATCTAAAAGTTCATCTTATGCAATTTAAAGAAACATTAGCACTATCCATCCTTCTGCCCTTAAGGTATAAATTAATTTATGAATGCTCTAGTGACTGGTCAAAATCGCTGGTTTATTAACTATATGTATTAGCGGTCGCTGACACGTATAAGTTGTTCTGTTTTTTTCTGATGTATAACTGGGGCTGTAAACGAGCCGAGCTTAAGCGAGCTCAGGCTTTGCTCGTGTTCGAAATCGGCTCGTGAATAGTGTGTTCGTGTTCGACTCGATTTAAATATTTGTGTTCATGTTCGGCTCGAAATTGACTCGTTAAAATTAAATTGAGAAAAATAGATGTAAAGTGTGATGTAAAATGTGGGATTCGAATTTGGATCAAATATTTACAAAAGAAGACACTAACCACATTGCCACATGAGGTGTTATGATTTAAACTTAGACATAAATATATATAATATATTATTATATAAATAATATATGTAATATATTGCTATATAAATAGTTATATAATTTTTATTTTATTTTGAGCTAAAACGAGCCGAACACGAGCGAATAAAGAGCTATTCGTGTTCAGATCGTTTATAATTCGAGCTTTAACAATTTGTTCATGTTCGGCTCGTTTACTTAACAAACGAGCCGAACACAAACTGTTTGCGGACAACGAGCTTTTTTGAGAGCCTAATGTATAAGCATGTTATTTTCATCAAAGCTTATTTCTATTGATTAAGCTATATACCCTATGTATAAGAATGTTACTTTCATCAAAGCTTATTTCTATTGATTAAGCTATATATCCAAATGATTAACTTAAAAATATAACTAATTTGGCTCGATCAAAGTTCAACTTTAATTCAAATTTAATATGAAAACTACTAAAGAAATTTGAACATAATTTTAAAACTTGGGTAAAACAAGCACAATTCTTTTGTATTTTCATATTTCACACATGAAATTTAGTATTTGCACACATAGCACTCAAATAGTGAACATCACATAAATTTTGAATGGCTAAAAGAAATAAAAAGAGAAGATAAGAGAAAATTAAGCCTGCCAAAAAAATTAAATTACATTTTAACCCTTGATATGATAAAGCTTAAATCCCACTTGCTTGATCCGGTCAGCTTTTTAGTGGGAAAAAAACAACGTCCATCCCAATTTCGTAGGTAAGTTCACACTAAAAGCAGCCATCACCTATCATTTGGTAATCTTTTGATCATCATAGCATAAATAATAATTTCACGTGACATTTAAAAAAAAAAGGTAGTCTTACGACTGATTGGTTTTCTTATCCTAGGAAGAAAATTAAGTTCAAAACTCTTTGTATAATCTAGATAACTTGCTATATCTTCTCTATAGCAAAGGAGATTTTCTCGTTTCAATTCATCTGAGCCACTTGTGAGGACACCCCTTCAATATGCAACGTGCTTTTCCATCTCCATCATTGCATCCTCTAGCCTTATTTTTAAGATTTTAACCACTTCCAAGTAAGTGGCGTCTTGTTGTTCTCCTTGACTTGGTTGTAGTGCGCTCAACAATACTTTTATAAGTTCTCTTGTCACCACATCCTACCTTCTCTTCTTCTTGGACCTCTGAAGGTTTATATCCTGACACTAACTTCGGCCCAATTCAAAAAGAGCTAGCCACTCATGACATTACCTTGCTTGCATAAATAATTTGTGACACATCATCCAAATTAATATCTTTCATCATTTGTTAGAGACTTTTAAATGCTATTACTCTTGACCCAGCTTCCACCTTCATTCATACACACAACCATCTGGCTAAACTACATATCTATCCTATTTATCTATTAGGAATATCCTCTTCTTCATAAGATCTGTCTAAAACATAAATCTCTCTCCAATAATTTATTTCTCTTTTATCTTCTTAGCGGGCTTCACCATTCACCATTCTCCATTAGGCTAAACAAACTAGCAAGCCTTGGCTACGATCCTCCCATTATATTTATCTAACAAATTCCTTGTAGCATGGCTTACTTATGAATATGCTCCCTTCAAGCCATTAAACAGTTATGTTTGCAACATATTATATTGAATGACATCAACTAAGAGTTTAAGTTTTTAGTTGGGATTTTATCATGACTTTTAATATTTAAGCAATAATTTTTTTAATTTAAAAAAAAAATATTTTTTTTTGATAATTTTATAAAGCCATGAAAAATACTTAATAGCAATTAAGGAAATGATTATTTTAGTGATTGATTAAGGAAAGTCCTTATACATTAAAAGTGCTAAAAGATATACTCACATTAAGGCAAGAAAAAGAAAATAAAGGAAAACTTAAAAAAAGAAAAAAGAAAAAAGGGAGAACCTCACACGTGTCGGGTTGGGGAAAGCTCGCTGTGTGTGATGCTTGGCATAGCCCTGACTGGCACGTGCGCAGCAAGCTGCTGACTCGGATAGCAGGGAGCTGCGCCTGCAGCCAATGAGCAAGGCCGGCATGATGGGAAAATATCAAATCCTGACCGTTCATTTAGTCTCAGGGACCAAAAGAGGGCTTTTTCTACCGTGTCTTCTACAAACTTTCCCCGGATTTATCCCAATCTCTCACTTTTCTCCCTCCTGCGAGCTCGCCAGCGAGAGAGAGAGAGAGAGAGAGAGAGAGAGAGCGAGAGAGAGAGAGAGATATTCTTCTCAGATAATCTATCTCGCGTGTAAGTGGACTTCTGATAGGTATCTCCCCTCCCAATTCTTTCTTCATATTTCGTTGTCGTAGTTCTTCGTGGTTTATGTCGAATTCTTTTGATTTAGATGTGTCTCGTTTGTTTCCGTATCCCTGTGAATCCTCTTGTTGTTGTTCTTTGATTTCGTGTTTTGATTTTGGTGGATTGATGCTTCTGCTCACAAAATCTGTTTTTTCTTAGGAAGGCTTCCAATTTTGGGTTGCGAGAATTCTCTTTCTTATCACGCGATTTCGTGTTTCTGTTGTTTTTATACTCCTCTGTTTTGGCTGATCAGGATGAATTTGGTTTTGTTGTTTTGTCACGATCAAGACGGGTTTTACATTTTCGCTCGAGCTGAAGTGATGCTAGTGCGGGAATTTACCCTCTTTATGTCAATTAATCAGTAAATTTGCTTTCTGTGAGTTTTGTCGTTCTGATTTCTCATGTTTCTGAATGTTATTGAATCGTTGTGTTCTATTAGCCAGGGACCGTATAATCTGTTTACTTATGTATATTTAGCCTGCTGTTGCGCGTTTTTTGGACGGAAAGCAGCTATCTTCCTAGCTGGATCCTGGATAGGGTTTTTATTTCTACTATTGTTTGATTCTGTCACTCTGCTACCTGATCTAAATGGAAAAAGGTGAATAAATTTTATTTAGCGACCTTTTGAGAGATTTTTAAAAACGAGTAGTTAGTTTGCACGTGCTGAACTGCACGTAGCTATGAAAAATTTCAATTATTAGATAAAATTCAATGTAAGAAAGCTTCTGATAATTCACTTTAACTGGATGAATCCTAATGATAAGAGTTAAACCGATCCATTGAAATATGTTCTCAGCCTTAGCTTATCAAACTGATTCCACTTTTAAGCTGTAATTTTATTATGAATTGGTTACAGAAAGAAGTTAAGATTGAAGGTGGACAAATTTTGAATGAGTGAAAAAGAATATTCATCTGGTTGAATAACATAATATATCAACGTTTAAAAAGAATGCAAAAGTGTCTTTTTTTGTGAATATTCTCAATTAGAATTAATTGGGAGAGTTGTTGAGAAAATTTTAACTTAATTGTGAGTAGAGGAACTTGTTCTGTTTCCAGTTAAATCTAAGAATGCAAAAGATGTTCCTTAGAAAGTTTTTGGCAAATTTGTTTTACATTATGCATGAGCCATGTATTTAGGCAACTTTAGTTAGGCTCATAATCTCAGCATCAATTTTCTTAATCTCTTATTCCTTATCTGGCGCATACTCTTTTTTTAATGCCATTTGACATTTTTTAATGCTGTTTTCCTACAATGCTTATTATGCAACTTATTGCAAGCCATGATCATGTATTATGTTTGGATTTAGCAAGATTCTTCAGAGTATTGTCAGTTATTCTTACTGATTGCAATACACTTTTGGACGATTTGTGTTAAAAAAAAATTAGAATAAACACGGGCCGTCTATTAAAGCATAAATTTAGTTTTCTCTGAATGCACTAACATTTTTTCAACTTAAGCACCTCCTTAACCTTCATTAAGCTTTCTATCTGAGCTATATCAAGCGTATTTGTGTTAAAAAAAATTAGAATAAATACGGGCCGTCTATTAAAGCATAAATTTAGTTTTCCCTGAATGCACTAACATATTTTCAACTTAAGCACCTCCTTGACCTTCATTAAGCTTTCTATCTGAGCTATATCAAGCATAAATAGTAAGATTAAATACAAATTCTTTGATTAATATGCTACTTAAAAAACTTATGCATTTATATCCTACTATGATGAACTCAATCCATAACCTAAAGTAAACAAAATTGCTCTAAAACTGAAAGCAGTAATTATTTTCAACTTTTTCACCCTGTCACGCAGCTGTCATAGATTTATTATTCCTTCGGTTTATCAATACTTCAAAATGCTTTGCTGACTACCATGTATATTAAACTTTCTTGAGAAAATTTTCTTTATATAATAAAAATCACTTAAAAGAAGAATAAATTACAGCTTTTGTCTTCTGTGAACAGTCTGTAGAGAACAATTGGTGGTAGAGTTTCCATTTATATGGTTTATTTCTCTAGCACTGTTAAAATTTATATAGCTATTACTTACTCTCTACAGTTGTATCCCCATTTTTCTGCTCCATTGTAACCTAAATGATGATGATTTTACTGTAACAGCTAGCATTAGTGAATCCTACCTAATTGTCAATTAGCACAAATGCCAGCATTTAAGATGAGGATCAAGTCAAAGACAAACTATCTAAGGGCATATAATCACAAATCAACCAAAATATCAAAAGGCTCACGTCCTCAAAGTAAGTCAGCTGAAATCCAAACAACAGCGGACTCTTCAAATCAAAGTCCATGTAAAGGTAAGCATTTTTAAGTTTTAGTTAATAAATACAGAACCATTTATAATCATGCTGAATGCCTTGTACCTTTTAATTTTTGTTTTAATGATGCCTTATATACTGCATGTCCTCTTGATTAGGGCTGATAAGGATAATTCGATGAACAAAATTATATGGAAATTTGCTTAAACTTAATCGCTGAGTTTTTTGTCTTTCTCCTAGATTTTTTTATTTTATTTTTTACATTTTTATTTCATCCACCACCAAGATTGAACCTATTTATTTCTAGTTTTATTTATCTTTGCTTAAAATTTGGTTAAAAGTTGTCCCTAAGGATTGCAATTGTTTATATAATTTTGATTTACAGTTTAGTATAGACATAAGATTACATTGAGTAAAAGCTTTTCAAAATATTGTGCAACTTTTAACCCCAATATTTGGAAAATGAGGATTTATAATGCCAATCCCTGGTAATTAGGGTGAGGCTACTGATTATGATGAAAATTTATATTAGCTTGATATTTTATAAACAAAGAGAATTCTACTCAATCCATCCGAGATTCTTATTACATGCAATAAATCTCATGTCCAATCCCCTCTTTTAAAACTAATTTTGACTGGGAATATTTTGAGGTGTTTGGCAATCAGGAAGTACTTGATCTCACTCGCTTGACTTGAAATCAGTGTTGGCTTCCTATCAACTTGGATCAATGCTGCATTTGAAAATTTCAAATTCTAATTAAGGGTAGTTAGCTTTCTTCCATTCATTCATTCACATTTATTTTTTATTATAAGGGCGATCTTCATTGTATACATCTTGTGGTTTTTCTATGCACCTTTTATTGCGTCTATATCTTTTTTCTGCAGACATTGTTTTTAGTCATAACAATTGATATTTTTTTTTACAAACTTCGTCATCTTCTTAATGCAATTTTAAAAGATATTTCATGGTGGCACATCTTGAATCAGATTGTATAGGTAGAAAATTCAAAATAAGAGGTAAATTCGAAGTACTCATGACACAAACAACATAGAGAGGCCAACCAAAAGTTTAAAAACCATTATGGAAAGATATTTTAGGAGATCATTTAGACATCATAATCCCAGCAGACGACACTAGACGTTAGTATATACTGTAATCCTTAAGGCTGACAGTAGTTAGCTTTAGCAGTGTCAATCAACCTTAATATCACTGATTTAATATTACGATCACCCGTGCTTCCGGAGCCTCTTGAGTTTCTTTCTCTACTCGCTGAACACGCTTCCCACCAATCCTAACTTTATGGATCTCATCTAAGTTGTCTCTCTTTTTTATTCTGAGTAAGCATAAGGATAAGATAAGAATTTTGAGAGACAAAAGTGGGGATTTTGTAGTCTACTTAGTCAATCTTTTTTTTATTTTCAATCATTGAATGCTTGGGATAAGTAAGAAAAAAAAAACTATGGGTTTTTCCTGCTGATTTTTTGTTTTATATTTTAATTCTAAAAATCATTATAAACCTGCTTAGTGCAGTTTCTAGCAATATTGAAGTATCTGCTCAGAATGTTGAAATCACTGAAGCCAATGACTGCCAGGACACATGTACTGGAGAATCCAATCAAATGCTGAAATTTATGTTCTCATCTCCCGACTCTCCTTCATTCGGAGGAATGGTAAGATTTGCTTTTCTCGCCATACATACTCTTTGTTTCTAGATTCTTCATCATTGTCTTTGACATTTGGTTATTATGATGTATATTATTGACCATTGAGGGAAGGAGGGATGTAGAGAGATTAGTTGGGAATCACCCGTATGTTGACTACGAAGAGACTTTCTGCTGCATTTGCTTTCCTGTTTATCCAAAGTTATTGGGTTTTGATATAATTGTTAGAATATGTGCAATGGGAACTCGAATGCTATGAAAATTACTCAACTATCTTAAAGATGGCCAATTCATTGATTCTTTTTTCTGCTTCAATCCAGGGACTTGAAACAATATATTTTGCTGTATTTTGTGTATATATTTGTAATTAATGTTTGAAGCGTTACAGTTTGAAGTCACAATTTACAAATCAACTTTAAAAATTAAGCATGCTAGTGCTGCTTTTAAGTTTTAGATTTTTCGTTGTTAGACATGCAAGATGGTCCCTATAATTACTCAAGCTATATTCTTGTGTTCTTCTAGGATGACCATCTTGCCAAGCAATCATTGTATTTATTTGGCCAACTTTGAGCTTGTGCCTGATTTGAACATTTTAATGACGCCTCATTGTGGATAGAGAAAAATGCCAAAATGATCATTGGACAATTTGCATGTGCCTTTAATTTTTAGATTAAAAATGTATTCAATATAGTCAGTTGACTCCTCAAATATGATCCACAATAACCCCTTTGTCGGATTATTTTTATTAGATTTGAAAAGTCAATGGACTTCTTTGGGTCAAAATAGAGGAGTCAAAGGGCTAAATTTTATTTATAAGATAGTCTAGGACTAAATCCTCGTTCTATTACTAGTCTAAGGACCCTTTCAATAATTTTCTCTATCCATTATAGTTTATTCCCTTGGCAATCTACCTGTCATTTTAAATGGACAAGCTAATGAATGAGAATTTCACTGCATCATTCACTAACGGTTTATGATGTTTTATTTTTTTTTAATCTCAAATATCAATGTCAACAACTTTGTTCTAATTTCTATCTCTGTCATATTAACACTCAATTAGACGGTAAATAGCATAGAAAATATGTTTAATTTAATGAAAAACGAATCTTTCATGCTTTTTTTCCTACTTAATGTGAAAATGGGTTGCACTTAGCTGATTCACCAAGGAATTTTTTTCATGTAGTTAATACACTGGACCAATCTTCTGTCATACTATTTATGAGGCTTTAATGATTTTCAGGAATCTATGTTGGCACCATGCCCTGGTAACATTGAGACGATCTTTTCACCTTGTTTTGAGCAGAACGATGAAAATTTCAAAGCAATAAGTTCTAATGACTCAGGTGACTGCTAAATCATTTTTAGATTTAATACACATTTGTAAATTAAATTTTGTTTTCTATGTTATTAATATTAGGTTAAAAATGATTTAAACATTAAATGAACAATACTAGGTTATTAACTGTTAAATCATTTTTAGATGTACATACACATTTGCAAATCAAAAGTTTAAATAATTTTTAACTATTAAATCATTTTTAGATGTAATGCACATTTGTAAATTAAAATTGTACATTATTAAATGTCAGTATTTGTTAATAATTAAATGTTAAAATGTAAATGCTGTTATGATGAAAGGAATAATAAAGAAAGACGCCTAATGAAATTAAGTTAAGCTTCCAAATATTTTGGGAGAATTACATACATACAATTTTTATAGATTTACATCTGTAGCGCCTAAATATTGGTATTAAGTTGTGTGTATCTACCTAATCATCATGTATACATTACCCATGTGAATTTGCATTCTAAAACTTTTTAGTAGCATCATTATGTTCAAATACTTTTCCTAAACACTTAGGAAAGCCTGTCGTTTTGGAATGAGTTTGCCCTCTTCTTGTTATGCTCTAAAAGTAATGGAGTGCAAAGAGGGAGGAATTAAAGAGGGCCATTTATTTTTTGAACATCAATGAAGCTGTTGTTATCTTTTGTAGAGATTAAATTAGTTTGAAAAAAAGTATTTTCGCTATTAACTTTAATATGCATTTTGACATAAGTCACACTATTTATCAATCTCCTTACTAATATAGTATAGATAAAGTCAAAACATAATTATTTGGAATATATGATTACAAACTTTTGATAACTGACAAATTTAACATTAAATGTGTGGCTCACTTTGTCTGGTGGTTGGGTGTTTGTCTACAACCACAAGGTCATGAGTTCAAGGCCTAGCATATGCCGTTGTATGCTTGAATTTTTTAGAAAAAGCATGCATATAATCTTAATTTATCTATGAATAAAACTATGTAAATTATTCACTGCTTATATTTTCATGCTTAAAAAAATACAAATTTATTTAAATTTGAAATACATCTGGAAATGTAATTGTGAATCAACATCAACATCAATCTAAATTACATACTTCTATCTCTATTATTTTATCAATAAAAATATTTTTGATGCAAATTATTGCATCTAACTTTTAACTCTATTTAACTAGGTTAGAAGTTATACAATTCAAATTTATTCATCTACTTCAGTCCATAGTAACGCAATTCCAGATGATTTTACATTTTTCTAGTATTTCAGTATGGTTTCATACCTTTGTGTGTGTGTGCGTGTGTGGTTTTTTTTTTCTGCAGTTGGAGATAAACAACCTCCGCGTGTGTGGTTTTTTTTTTCTGCAGTTGGAGATAAACAACCTCCGCTACCTCATCTGATTACCGATGAGGTCGACGAAGATTGTTGTACTTTTAGCGAATTCCAAACTTGCAATGGATTTGATTTCTACTTCTCCGATAATTTTTTGGCATTACCAGTTGATGGAGGCATTGGATTTAACGATATTTTAAATATCCCCTCTCCTGATAATGAACTTCTGAATTCTGATGCGCTGCTTGATCTCGAAGAGCGGCCCATATATTTTCCATTGTTGGATGAACGTTCAGAAAATTATGGGTTGTGTGATGATAAATCTGCTGGAAAACATATGGATGGTGATGATTCATGCTTGTATCTGGCTATCCATCAGTTGAAATCTCCTGATCAGGATGCACAGATGAGATGCTTCACCAGTGATTTTGAAGAAACAGCATGCTTTAATTTACAATTAACTGCCAACAAATTATCAAATTTACCAGTTTCAAGAACCGAAGCGGTAAAAAGAAAGCCTATCACACTTGTGCTTGATTTGGACGGTAAGCATAAGACGTCCTTTTTATTTGTGAAATTTACCTGCATTCCACAGAATTCTTATGTATTTACGTATCAAACACCTAAAGTTTTATATTTATATTTATGCACTTTGATGCCATAAATCTATGCATGAAAATGTGTATTTCACTTTTAAAAAGTTAATAATAGTGGTATTTTTTATGGGATGTTAAAATTTTGAGTATTATGTAAGTAGATATGAAAGTTTAGATGTTTGATATGTAAATAGATAAGAATTTTGTTGAATATTTGGAGAATTCCTCTCTTTTTTTCTAGATTTTGTTTATAGTGTATTTGTGTTATTTATTATATTTTGAGGTAATCTGCAATAAATCAGCATGCTTAATTTTGTTTTATCCATGCACTTCAATGTAGCTAAGAAACAATATGGCATCACGCTTTTTTTTTTTGGGTATTTGCATACATGGAAAATATATGCAATAAAATCAGCATGCTTAATTTAGTTTTATCCATGCACTTCAATGTAGCTGAGAAACAATACGGCATCACGTATTTTTTTTTTTTTTTTGGGTATTTGCATACATGGAAAATATATGGGCCTGTTGTTCAAAGCGATGGTGATATAGGCGGGGATGTTAATAGTAGAATTCAAGATGGTTGGTTGTAGTGGAGGAATGTTTCGGGCCCCCGAGATGAGAATGATTAGGTGGATGAGTGGCTTTACACTTAGAGACAAAATGCAAAATGAATATATCCGTGATAGGGTTAGTGTGGCTCCAGTGACGAACAAAATTAGAGAGTCATCTCAGATTGTTTGGTCACATTAAACGTCGACCATCTACGATCCGATTAGGAGAGTAAATGTTATAGATTTTGTCTAATGTTAAGAAAGACAGAGGTAGACCTAGGAAGACTTGGGCTTATTGTATAAAAAATGATCTTAATTTATTAGAACTAAATGAAAATATGACACTAAATAGCACGCAATGGAGAAAAATTACACATGTAGTCGACCCCATGTAGTGGGATTAAGGCTTTGTTACCCCACGTAGTGGGATTAAGGCTTTGTTGTTTTTGTTGTCTTTGCATACATGTATACCACTCAATTCTTACGTATTTAAATATCTAAAACCTATATTTTACATTTATACCACCCAAATCTTTTATGGCGCATAAAATATACCACCATTAAAAAGTAAGGTACACCTTTTCATGCCTAGGTAAATGGTGGTGTGCATGTAAAAATTGAAGTTTATGTGTTAGATGTGCAAAATACGTAGGAATTAAGTGGAATGTATGGAATTCTTCTTTCTTTTTTTTTTTCATCTGTTGCCTTCTTGTGTCATATAACTATTTCTCGGACTTATTCATGGAGGTGCTCTTTTGTACCGTTAAATATGCTTTGGCCTCTGTTTTGTAGCCAAATTTTATTCTTTTAAGCAGCGATGTATCTGCTGAAAATTCAGCATTATTACCAAACATTGCTAATTTTTTCATGGTCCAAAAATTTTCTACCATATTAAAATACAGGGGCATTTACATTCATACCACGCAATTCTTATGCATTTAAATATCCTTCCCTGAAGCATTCATATTTACATGCTTACCACTAAATCTTTAACGTCACATAAAAAATACTTTCATCAGTATCTTTTTAAAAGTGAAATACACATTTTCATGTATATGTTTATGACACCAAGATGTCATAAGCATAAATATCATGATTTGAGTGGATATGTAAATACGTAAGAATTGTGCAGTATGTATGTACATTTCACTAAAATATAGGATTCAGTGTGGAATTTAAAATTTCATGGATAGCATCTGTTTTGAAGAGGTCATAGTTACTTTTGTCTGACTATGGTACAAATACTTGGAAGGTTTACATCCATATGACTCATTTCCTATGTATTTACTTATCTAACACCTAAACTACAAGTTTTACATATATATCACTTGTCCTAAGCTTGAAAAGGTGTATTTCACTTTTTAAAAGTTAAAAATGTGGTAATTTTGACGTGATATGAAAGATTTGGGTGGTATAAATGTAAAAAGTAGAATTTAGGTTTTAAATATGTAAATAAATAGGAATTGAGTAGTACCTATGTGAATGTTGTGACAGCTTGTTTCATCATCTCATTTCTAATGTGATATGATTGATTACCTAAATTGACCAAAAATTTGAGCCTAACTAGCAATTTCAATTATGTTATAATCCAGTTTGTTAGCATAAAATAATTACTCACAAGCCTGAGAATTGGCTGGAATTGCACTGCATGAAATTTAAATCTTGGAAAGCAAAATTTATGTGAAATGAATAACTGAAAATTTTTTAGGCTGACAACAATGTGTAAATTTATGCAGAAACCCTTGTCCATTCAACGCTGGAGCATTGCGAAGATGCCGATTTCTCCTTCCCTGTTTTCTTTAACATGAAGCAGCACACGGTGTACGTTCGACGGAGGCCGTACCTGCAAATGTTCCTCGAAAGAGTCGCTCAAATATTTCGCGTCGTTATATTTACTGCGAGTCAGAGCATCTATGCTGAAAAGCTTCTGAACATTTTGGATCCTGAAAGAAAGTTGATCTCTCAGTGCTTTTATCGCGAGTCATGTGTATTTTCTGATGGGAGCTACACAAAAGACTTGTCCATTTTAGGGGTTGATCTTGCAAAAGTCATTATTATTGACAATTCTCCACAGGTATGCGCTTTGCCATTGTAGTCTAAATCTTTTATATTTCAGCAAATCAAATTTATAAAGTTAAAGCAGCATGGTAAAATAATGCATCCTAGTGAGAAGACATCAAAAATTTGGGTCATTTACATACATACCGTCCCGTTCCTATGTATTTACTGAAATCTTTCATATCACACGAAAAATACCACCACTTTAACTTTTGAAAAGTGAAACACACCTTTTCATTCATTGGTTAATTGACATGTATATACAAATTGAAGTTTAGTTGTTAGATATGTAAATACATAATGAAGTCCATAATTTTATTGTTTGCATCTTTTCATTTCCTTTTATTGCGTAATTCATAAGCTCTATTTTTCCAGGTTTTCAGGCTGCAAGTGGATAACGGTATTCCAATTAAGAGCTGGTTTGATGATCCTGCGGATCAGGCGTTAACTTCATTACTTCCCTTCCTTGAAAGTCTGGCTTATGTGGATGATGTCCGGCCCCTTATTGCCAACATATTTGGCTCCAGAGAAGAGCAAAAAGTCGTCTTAATATAGTTGGTTTAGACCCCCCAAAAAAAGGGTAATTTACATACATTGCACACAATTCTTATGTGTTCACATATCTCACACCTAAACTTCCATATTTACAAACATAGCACTTTGGGGCTTTAACTATACGTGTAAATATGAAAACTTTAGGCATAAGATATGTAATAACATAGAATTGTGTGCTTTATATGTAGATGCCAATAAAATGATTATGATATCCCAATTCAATTTTCGAAGAGGACGCGGCTACTTTCGAGATAATACCTTCTCTTTCAAAACAGCTATTTTTTGGATTTGCAAGATAGAAATACTATTTCTTACAATCCAATTAATCGCCGGGGTCCTCATTGAAATTTTGGTCATAATATTCGAGCCTTTTTGTTTTTTTTTTTATAATAAACTTGAATACTATCCTCATTAGAAAGCATCCATTTTGTTTTTCGTGTTACACGGTAGGAATCAGCTCATTGTTTAAACACAGCAAAGTTTTATAGCTTAGTTTTCAATTGTTGTACATATACTCTATTTCTTGCTATTGATCTGGGCGTGTATAGCACTTTAATTTTTGTGCAATAAAATGATATTGCACTTTAAACTGATTTATTGTCAGCTGAGTTCTTCTTTTGACTGAACAATAAACTTGGTGATTGGTAAATGAAAACTGTGAGTTTGTTGATGAATTTTTGAACTTTTGTTGATATCTAAATGGTCACTGGAAGTATGTTAATGAATATTGGCTGTTTGTATGCTATACATGTCATTTACATCCATACCATCACATCTAAATAAACACCATCACTATTGTTTTATAACTGAAATATAAATTTATGACACGAGGTTCTTCTCAAAGTGTCAAAATTAAACTTTGGATATTATATATGAATGTACATAAGAAATGTGTTGTATGCATGTAAATTTCTTTTTTTCTAATTTTGCAGTTTTATTTTTAGTTTTTGCTTTTTTGACATTAGTAAAAAGTAGAAAAAAAAAAGGCACAGCTGCTTTTCAAATGAAACCAAGTAGATACAACTAATATATACCAACCTCCCCCTTATAACAGTCCTTAGTAGGGATGTGTAAACGAGCCGAGCTTGAGTGAGCTCAGGCTGACTCGTGTTTGAAATCGGCTCGTGAACAGTATGTTTGTGTTCGGCTTGAAATTGGCTCGTTAAATTTAAATTGAGAAAAATAGATATAAGATGTGGGATTCGAACATGTATCAAATATATATAAAAGAATGCATTGATCACATTGCCATATGAGGTGTTATGATTTAAACTTAGATGTAAATATATATAATATATTATTATATATATTATTATATAAATAATTATATAATTTTTTGGCAATTACAAATAGTTGTTCGTGTTCGGCTCGTTTATAATTCGAGCGTTAAAAACTGGTCTGTATTCGGCTCGTTTATTTAACGAACGAGCCGAATACGAGCTACTTGCGAACAACGAGCTTTTTTTCCAGCCCTATCCTTAGTCTTTTTTGACAGCCCTAGTCGTGAGAGTAGCTCCTTATTTTCAGCAACAGCTAAAAGGGAAGGAAAAAAAAATAAAAAAATAAAATCAGTCATATAACTTAAAGAGTCTATACTCTCCCTAAAAAGAGTATAAACATCCTTAGCTACAACTTTACATTTTTTTAAACATTAGTCTCCATATCAGCATATCAAACAAACAATGCAGATGAACCTCTCCCTGTAACATAAAGTATCAATCTTATCCCACCTCTTTGCCTCTTTCCAAATAATTTCTCTCAAGACTTGTGCTTACCCCCACACATTCCAGCCTCACCACCATCCACACCAGCTCGAGCTAGCCAGCATACAAATCGACGCCATCTTAACCTGCCACGGTGCTTCTTCTTATCCCCTAGTATATCCCTGGAATCCCAAACTGGCCAGCACCATTTTTCCTCTGCGAACCTCCAACAAAGAATGGCAAACCCCTCACGTCAACTGCGACTTCTGGAGCGATCTTGCTCGGCATAAATGGCTGCGGCGGTTTAAGCCGGCGACTATCATCCCTCTCTTCTGACGCTTCAGCCTTCTTGCTTTCAGTCTTACCAACACTCTTGGGGGGATGAAGATCAGGGTGTGGTGGAAGCATTGCATTTCGAATCAATCTTCGAGGATCAGAGGGTTCCTTCACGCTTCCATTTTCGAATGAAAATATTGGACTCACAATTCTGCCTGGCTTGGCTGAAATTCAAATTAGCAAGCAGCTTCAGCATTTCAAAACAGTTGAAGGAATGGCTATGCAGAACTTATCAGGAGCAGTTTGAAGGAGCAGACCAAGTGGGATTCTTTGAGGTGCCTGTGGAAGCCTGGCGAAATGTTCAGAAAACCCCTCGGCTTTTCGGGGATTAATAATTTGTTCCTTTGGAGAGATTGTGGTTGAATGGAGCACGGTCGGTCTACGAAGATTGAATTTCAAATTGGATTAGATAATTTGTAAGATTTCTTAGAAGGTCATAGTGCTAGATTCATAAAGAAAAAAATTTGCTGAATTAAAACAAGTGTACAAGCTTGATTCTTTTGATGGAATATTACCAGCAAAATGAAATTTACAAGAACTAAATATGAAACATAAGCTTCAACAACAACAATCCCACTACGCAGGGTCGGCTACATGAATTCTTTTTCTCCATTGCGTCCTATTTAGTGTCATATTTTCATTTAGTTCTAATAAATTAAGATCATTTTTTATACAATAAGCCCAAGTCTTCCTAGGTCTACCTCTGCCTTTTCTTAACATAAATCAAATCTAAAACATCTACTCTCCTAATCGGATCATTAGATGGTCAACGTTTAATATGACCAAACCATCTAAGAAGCTCTATCTAATTTTGTTCGTCATTGGAGCTACACCAACCCTATCATGAAGATATTCATTTAGCATTTTGTCTCTAAATGTAAAGCTACTCATCCACCTAATCATTCTCATCTCGGCGACACTTAACTTAGTACTATGCTTTTCTTTTAAAGGCCAACATTCAACTCTTTGAACAACAGACCTGAGATATCTAAATTGTTCACATCTTTTAATAATTTGATCACTCAAAGTTACACTTCTGTCATTAGAGCTACTACTACTAAAATTACATTTCATGTATTCAGTTTTAGTTCCACTAAATGAAGGCCTTTAGACTCCAATGTAGACCTTCATAATTTAAGTTTTTCCTGGGCTTTTTCTCTCTTCTTATCCACGAGAAGGATACCATCAGCAAAAAACATACACCAAGGTACATCCTCTTGTAAATGTCTAGTAAAACCATCCATAACTAAAACAAAAAGATATGGGCTTAAAGCCGATCCCTGATGTAATCCAACAGAAATAGGAAAATAATTGGTCAATCCTCTTTCGTTCGAACACAAGTAGCAACTCTAGTATACATATCTTTAATGACTTTAATATAAATCATATCAACACATTTCTTCTCAAGAACTCTCCAAAGGATATCTCTTGGAACCTTATTGTAAGCTTTTTTTAAATCAATAAAAATCAAATTTAGATCCTCTTTATTATCTCTGAACTTCTTCATCAAACCTCTCAATAAATGTATAGCTTCTGTAGTAGGCCAGCCCGACATAAATCCAAATTGATTATGAGAAAAAATCTTAATAATATGTCTTAACCTATGTTCAATAACCCTCTTCCATAATTTTAAAGTATGACACATCAACTTAATTCCTCTATAATTTGCGCACTCTTGTGCATCCCTTTATTCTTCCTTTATTCTAAAAAATGGGGTCCAAAATACTCTTCCTCCATTCCTTAGGCATATTTTAGTTTTTAAAATAATATTAAAGAGTTTAGGAAGCTAAGAAACTCCCAAATCTCCTAAAAATTTCCACACTTCAATTGGGATATCATCAGGTCCTATAGATTTTTCACCATTGGTTTTCTTTAAAGCCTCCTCAACTTCTTTTTTACTAATGTGACGGTAAACATGAAACGTTTTATTATTATTGACGATATTAAAATCACTAAGGTCGATCGTATTTCAGAAACTTCATTAAGAAGTTTATCACAATAACTCATCCACCTATGTTGAATATCTTTTTCCAAGAAAAACACTTTTTGATTTTTATCTTTAATACACTTTACTGGAGTTAAATCTTTACTTTTCTTTTCTCTTTACTTTTCTTTTCAATCTTTACTTTTCTTTTCTCTTTATTTGACTAGTTTCTACATATATTTTTCACCCTTCTTAGTATTTAATCTGTTATAAAGAACACTAAAAATATAATTTTTAGCGTTTTAGCGTCGCAAATTATTTTTTTAGACTCTCTGCGGGTCGTTTGATATTTTTCTCAGTTCTCTAAACTTTTACATTTAAACCAATTTTTATAACATATCTTATATTTTATATTTTCTTGCACATTATTATTCCACTATTAACTATTTTTATTTTTAGATATTTTTTCTTTTGATTCTCCAAATACATCTTTTGCTACTTGTTTAATATTTTTTGTTACTTTATCTCACATAGCATTCGCTTCTTTATGAACATCACAAATTTTAAAATCTTGAATATTACTCATAAAAATAATTTTGTCTTTTAGATTTTTTCATCTAATTCTACCATGATGAGTCCTAATATTCTTTATTTTATAATTCTTTATCTGAAAATCTAGAACTAATAATCGATGTTGGGTACTCAAATCCTCACTTGGAATAACCTTAAAATCTTTACAATCTCGGCGATTTCTTCCTATCATAAGAAAATAATCAATTTGTGTTTTATTAGATCCATTCTTATATGTAATAAGATGCTCATCTTATTTCTTGAATAAAGTATTAGTAATAACACAATCATACACTAAAGCAAAATCTAAAATGACTCTACCTTCTTCATTAGTCACTCCAAAATCATAACCATCATGAATATTTCTGAAATCTTCTACCACTTTACCGATATACCCATTTAAATCTCCTCCAATAAATATGAAACATAAGCTTCAAAAATAAAAATTTCCATTGAGTGAATACAAAGATCAACGATAAGATAAATTTCAACAGTTTAAATAAAAGGAGTTAGCTTATTTGGATGGTTGTCAGATTGGAAGTTTTCTAGCCACATATGATTTACATGAATATATAGCTTTGTTATTGATATGAGTTTTAATAAACGCCTTGAACAAAAAACTAAACACGAATTAAACTATAATTTTTCAAAGATATTAGCTCCGGCCTTATATAAAGCTCTAAAGATTAAGAAATATTACCATTATTGTCTTATTATAACTATTATGCCAGTGGTTTATATGCCTACAAATCCATTATCTCTTCACTCTGTCAAATACATTAACCCATGGCTAAACTGGTTTAATTGAAACTCTATTTCATGATTTTTTTTCCGGGAAAATTTCATGAATATGCTTTAAAAAATAGAATGTAGAAACATATTTACAATAACCAAAATGATCCTAATCTGATTTTGTTGAGTTTGAACTTGCACATAATCTCATGAAGCTAATCGTGAACATAAAATTGAGCATCGTCAGAATTTAAATCTAAAAATTAATTTGAAACATTCATGAACCTACAAAATTAGAATATGAATTCATTTCAACTGAAAATAAA